TTCATACCAATCTATAAATTTCTCAATCTCTCTCTCTCAACAGTCAATTCTGACATTCTAAGTGATTTTTTTGAGTTTTTGTGCTCGGTTTTTTATAAAATCGATCCGGTTTTACATAAACTCAATTCTAATTTTATAAAAAAAAACTCTTATTTCGGTTTCGTTCTACATAATATTCTCTCTTTTTTATTTTCTATCATCTTCACCTCTCTTTTTATCTTTTTTATTATATAAGTTTTTTATTAACCGGCTATTTTGGTCAATCGGAATAATTGAAATAATTTATTATTTATATTATAAAAAGTATATTTAGAGTTTTAATATTTTTGTTGTTGAAATGACATAATATATAAAACTCAAAAATCGATAATGTGCATTATCATAAACACTATTGTCTAATATAATTTTTATGTGCATTTCAATCTTAGACAACTTTCATAGTTTGTATATCAATCAATATCATTTTGCGTTTAATATAATATTATTATAATAAAAATATATTTAGCATATATGAACATTATACGCTGTTATGTTAATGTGCATTCTCGAACGCATTAACGTACAATTGTTCTAACACTATTGTGCAGTATGACAAACACTAAAGTACATTTTGTCTAGTACAATGCGTGTTTTTTTATGTGCAAATTCAAGCTAAAATTGAACCGATATAATTGGATTATTCGGTTAGTTAATTAAATTAACCTAAATACTTGAATTAATTTATTATTTATATTATAAAAATATATTTATTACTTTAATAATTTTTATTTAATATTTTACAGTTATTTTTCGTTGAAAATACATACACACACACACACACACACACACACATATATATATATATATATATATATATATATGTTGGTGCAGCTGACTAAAAAATCTTATTTTAGAGCTCGGTGCTTACCTTGGTGCCCGCCTTCTTTTCGCCTCATGGGACAGGGCCAGTTTGACCAGCATCCACTGAGGAATGACTTTCTTGTTCGATCTCCAGCCAGAGTGAACCTGTCTTGACTTCGACACTCTTTTCCATAAGCATAAGAAAGCGAGACACAAGACTTTTCACAGAAGGAATTACATACGCCTTTCTATCTACAGTGAATCCACTCGGAAATCAACTAGCTGACCGGGCTATAGGACATACACGAACACATACTTCACAAGTAATGCATTTATCAAACGAAAAGTGGATTCGACCTCGGAAACGTTCTGTTGATTATTTAAAAAAAAAAATAAAGTCAGACATCTAATCGAGATAACTAAAATTTTAAAATTACAAATATAATATAATATAATCGACATATAAAATTTTAAACCGAAAAATTTAGTTCATTTGAATTAGGTCGCTAGTGTGCAGTCAATCAGTCATTAATGTACGTTTCGTCTATCAGTATTGTGTACTCACAATGCGACTATATTTAATGTGAATATACACAATATATTTTTGCATTTTATTTATTAATATGACCTTATTAAACTTTTTATAAATCATACATTTGACACATGAACCACAGTGAAATATATTCAAAATTCATGAAATTGCAATCAAGTCTTTTCACATTGTCTAATTTTCGAAAAATTGCCCGAGCCACAAACTGTTATTTCTCTGCCCCCCACCACCACTGCACCGTCAGCTTTTCTGTTCGGCGACTACCGGCATCGCCGTCTTTAGCAGCCTTTGTCGTTCGACCTGCAAGTCGGCGCAATTAGCCACTATCTGGCCACGCCCGACGATTTTTTTTTTTTTTTAAAAAAAAATCCCCCATTGAAGATCGACCTTCGAGCTTGAATGTCGCTGCATCTAAATCGAAGAGGTTGATACCGAGCTTGGCGGTGAAGGATGACGCTGGAGAAGACAACTTGAACGGCGGCGAAGTAGAGGCGACTGTTCTGCTGGAGTCTCTTGTGTGCAGCCGATGGAGGCACGACGGCAGGTGGTGGCAGTCGTCAGTGTGATGTTGATGTCGCGTCTTTTTGTTCGTGTGTGTGTGTGTTATGTGTGTGCTCAAGTGTGTGTGTGTGTTGTGTGTATTGGTGTGTGGTGGGTGACGTGGCGTGTGTGTGTAATTGGTGTGACAGATAGAGGTGAGGTGGTAGGTGGGTCTCACGTGTTAGTGGTTGTGTGGTGGCGTGGGTCCCACTGTTTGTGTATGAAAATTACCACATTGCACTGTTTCTTTTAGCCTTTAGATCATCTGATCTAATGGATACAATTTATTCTTATTTCTTTCATTGAGCACTATTCTCATGGGAGCCCGACCCTATATATATATATATAAGTATAAATATAAATAAAAAGAGAATGAGATTTACTACAAATAAGATTTAGTAGTATTAGTTTATGTTTGTGTAGTTGGTTTGTGTAGTTGTGAGTTTTGTTATTTNGATAGTTTCATATTTGACGTGTGTATATATGTAGAATAAAAGCTAATAATATTTATTCATATAAAATGAAATTTTAGTAGATCGGTTGATAATAAACATAAAACAATGAACATGATTAAATTTCTTTTATAATACAAATTATAAATTTATTATTAATAAAAAATAATAGTAAAATGGAGTAAAATAGGCATTTCTATGGCATATATTTCCCACTCAAGTTTGAAAATGGAGCAAAACTTGAATATGAAAATGAAAACAAACAATTATTTCAAACATCAGTAAACGAAATTAAAATTATAGACTTGCGGTCTACAATTTCCCCCATCTATGAACTTGGTGAGAATGCTACGTTTGCGGCAATTGGGCTTTGAAAACATGATCAACAGCGGTGGGGCTGTCGAGTTTATGGAGAAGAAAATGAAAAAGAAGAATATCCGTTTCACAATGAAAATTAAGGGGGCTGGAAAATTCTTGGCCTACTGAATTTTGGAGCCAGTGCAGGTGAATTTGAACAATGAGATGATTGAATTTGGGTGGAAAAGTGATGGTGTCCTGAAGTTTGATGTGCCATGGACCGATCTGGAATTGTCTCGTGATGTGTATTCCTCTATATTTTTATTCTTCTTTTGGTTTTGGTATTCAGATTACATTGTATCTTCCATTTTCTGTACTCTACCTGTACTTTTTGTTACTAAATGAGATCAATTGTATGTACATCTACAATTAACCTCAAAAAGTATTCATGTGCACATTTTTTCGTGAATGATTTCTTCTTTCCTTTCTTCACCTAATGGAGCCTGTTCAAGATTCTAATCATGTAAGTCGTAAGATCGCCTTATGCTAGATCTTCTTCTGTTTAATACTCATGACATTCAGCAACGTGTTAATCACAAGAAAAGACTTATTTTCTGCAACTTACAGTAAAATATCGGTTAGTATTGTGAACTCTTTCGATTTTGAGAGGATATGCCCAGTGTTCAGCTACTCTTTAACAGTTGCCACCAAACTGCTTATCTTTGTACATATTTCATAATTTGAGTTGGCATGAAGACATAAGACAACCAGGGAAACGAATCATGACAGTCACATTCATGACTAATACTCGAGAATGATACAAGTAAGATGCACATAGTCTACAGAAATACAACAGGAAACTTGTTTATTGCCTACTTTCCAGATGATAACTTATCCACCAAATTTATTTAGATGAAAAAAGAAACCAAAAAGAACATGAGAATGAAAATTTATAGTTTTGACGGTGTTTTCTTAGAGCCCCGGCCAGCTATAAACTCCTGCATTTTTTTAAACTGCTCTTTAGTCATACCATCATAATACTCGTGAGCCCTTTCCTGTAAGAAAGAGAAATCTGAATTAAGATCATTCACCAATAGCCTATCAATGTCTTTGAGCAGCAATGGACATTGTACCATCTGCTGATACATAAAGTTTCTCGAAAAGTTTATATAGCTATTGCTCTTTCACAAAAAGAAAGTCACACTTCTCATAATCGCATGGACTATATAATGCATTTCACACGCTTCGTAAAATCAAAACAATACTCAATGTTCCTGGCATATCCAAAGGGACATTCACTTTGGAACCGAGAATATTGACAGAGGAGAATAAAAAAAGGAGAGGGCGTAACTAAACCAGTTTTTCTGTAGAGCCATCCGATGGCACGTCTTATGGAATGCAATCAATCAACTATCCATAGACAGAGTATTTGAAATGTGTCCTAAAATAAATACAGTTCGGAGTTCGGACATGTATTAATACATTAATTCATGGATGGCTCCATAAGGGACCGTCATTCCATAGAATTTCTAGTAATTAAATATAGGTCTAAATTTTTCTTGATACTTAACTAAGGAATTATCATTTCTTGCAATGTTACTTTTTCCATTGAGGAAAACAAACAACACAGATGAAAGTATTGAATAAGTAGGTCAATAAAGAAAGAAATCTATATATGCAGTTAAGACTTGGTACCAAATGAAATTTCACAAGTATTTCATCGAAACCAGCACAAAAAGGTGCAAGTTTCTGAAATCAATATAAAAGTAAAGAGAATATCCTATCACCTTCTCCAAAGCAAGTGCACGACCCAATTCTTGTTTAAATCCATCATTTATAACTGCTTTGTATCTCAGCACCAAGTCCTGATTATTCTTGATCATGGCCTCCGCAATTTGCCGAGCTTTCTGCAAAAGCTCATTTCCCTCGACAACATGATTGACCAAACCCCACTTTTCAGCTTGTTCGGCAGTTATAGGCGTGGCAGCCAAGGAGGCCTCACGAGCTCGACTGGGCCCTATTATGCGTGAAAGTTTCTGGGACAATCCCCAAGAAGGAAATATCCCAAATCTGTTCCAACCAAAATATTAAAATTTCGACTAAGGTACTCCAGATGATTTACTAGATCTGCTATACATGCCTTGTTGAAGTTCAAGCCAAGAAATCGTGCCATGACATGCAGCTGCTTCCTTTTTCATCTTTTTCATTTTATTTTGTTGTTTTCTTTGGTTCAAACGCGTGTCTGCGTTTTTATTAGTTTGTTGCGTTTCTGTTATTTGAACTCATAGGTTACGACGTCGTCTTCCTTTATGAGGAACGACGCCGTTTTATTTCTGTTCTTGTCGTCTTGCATGAGAGTGTATATATATACACTCATTATGTACGTACAGTGTGATTTTTGATTTTATGAGCTAAGAAAAGGGTTTTCCCCAAAATATCTAGTTTTGTTGTTTTACGGATTCAACATGGTATCAGAGCACATAACTCGATTCTGGAAATTTCCTTGCTGAAATCGAATCGCGATTCAAGATGATGAGGCGAGAGGAAGCTTTTAATGCTGCTAATGGATCTGGCATGCGCAATGCAGCAGAATCGATCGATCATGGACCGCTATTTCTGCACGGTTCCGATCATCCGGGAATGATGTTAGTCTCAACTCAAATGAACGGAAACAACTTTCTCTCCTGGCGACGTTCGATGACCATTGCACTTGGTGCCAAAACAAAACTTGGATTTATCAATGGTGAGATTCCTGAACCTGACTTGAATGATCCTGAATATAAAGTATGGAAAAAGGTCGATTGGATGATTCTTTCATGGATTCTTAATTCATTGTCCAAGGAGATAGCTGAGTCATTTTTGTATGCTGAAAATTCAAAGGATTTGTGGGAGGACATTTGTCAACAGTATGGCGAAAGTAATGGTCCAATCAAATATAAACTGCTAAGAGAAATCAGCAGTTTAACTCAAGGTAACAGCACAGTAATGGAATATTTCAATAAGCTGAAACGGTTATGGGAAGAATATGGACACATTGTGCCAATACAAGCGTGTGGCTGCGAAAAAGGGAGGATAGTAGCACAGAATAATGCTGAGACCAAGCTAATTCAATTTCTTATGGGGCTAAATGAGAGCTACGATGTGCAGAAAAACCAAATAATGATGCTTGACCCCTTGCCTACTGTTAGTAAAGCATATTCCATGGTTCTAACTGCAGAGAAGCAAAGATTAGTATCTAGTAGTTATGAAAAAGTGGACAATGTTGCCATGAATGTGAGATCAGAAACTTATGGCAGAGGACATGGTAATCAGGGAAGAATTCTAAGTGGAAGAGGAGGCTGGAATGGAGGCAAAGGCAGAGGGATGGGAAGGCTTAGTAAAGAAGAGAAAGCTAAACTGCAATGTGACAAATGTGGAATGAATGGACATACAGTGGCAACCTGCTTCAAAATACATGGAATCCCTGAGTGGTACAAAGACTATAAGTCACAGCAGAATAAGCCATTTGCCAATTGCACTGAAGCTTATGAAGATAAGGATTGGTGGAAAGAAAAGGCTGAGAGCAGGAAAGAAACAAAGGAGAATGATCTCTCAATGGTAGTACAACAGTTACAGGAAATAACAAAATATATCAAAGGGAAGGAAATGAGTGAGCAAAAAATAGATTATGCTCAAATGGTTAGCTTTGCTGGGAACAAAGAAGCTGAGGAAGTTCATTATGCCTTGACAACCTTCAGCAACATGAGCACAAAAGATTGGATCATTGACACAGGAGCAAGTAAGCATATGTGTGGAGATTTGGGAATGATGAAAAACACCTTTCACATGAAGGAACCTATTATGGTATGCTTACCAGATGGATCGCAAAAGAAAGTAGAAGTTGGTGGATTGGTTGTTATAAACAACAGCTTAGCTTTACAAGGAGTCTTATATGTTCCAGATTTCAAATATAACTTGATCTCAGTAAGCCAGTTGTGTATAGACTCAAAACTCAGGTGTTCTTTTTCAGCATCAGCATGTTACCTGGAAGATCAAGAAAGCGGGCAGTTAATAGGAGAAGGCACGCCAGTTGGAAATCTATATGTTCTTAATACAACAAACAAGAATGCTAAGCAAACAGCCAGCTGCAATCTCTCTCTTACTGAATGGCATCAATATTTGGGACATGCTAGCTATACCACCATGAAACATATTCCATTTCTAAAGGACTTATTCACTGAGAAGGATGAACATGAGGTTAAGGCCTGTGAGATATGCTTCAAAGCCAAGCAACACAGGTTACCTTTCCAGCATAGCAGCATACAAACTTCAAGGTGTTTTGAACTTCTCCATGTGGATATATGGGGCCCTTGCAGAGAAGAAAGCTTAACAGGAACTCCTTTTTTCCTTACAGTGGTGGATGATTTTAGTAGAGGAATCTGGATTTTTCTGATGGGACACAAGTCACAAGCAGTCAAATTGCTGACACAATTTGTTCTCAAAATCAGTACACAGTTTGACACTTGTGTTAAGAAGGTGAGATCAGATAATGGGTTGGAGTTTATGGGGAAGGAATTACAGTCCTTTTTCCAAGGCAAAGGAATTCAGCATGAAACAACATGTGCCTACACACCACAACAAAATGGTGTGGTGGAAAGAAAGCATAGGCAACTATTGGAGATAGGAAGAGGACTTATGTTTCAAGCAAAGTTACCTATGAATTTTTGGCCATACTCAGTGATAACAGCAGCATTCATTATTAACCGGCTGCCTACTGCTGTCCTAGATTGGCAGTCACCATTTGAAAGGATGTACAATAAGCCAGTGGACTATACTCAGCTTAAACCATTTGGTTGCTTAGCTTATGCTGCCAAAGTGCACCCACACAAGTCTAAATATGAGCCAAGAGGAAGTAAATGCATTTATCTGGGAACTGCACCAGGAAAGAAGGGATTTCAATTGTATGATTTGGAGGAAAAGAGTTGTATAGTTGCCAGAGATGTGGTATTCTTTGAAAAATTATTTCCTTCTGTTACAAATGATCACAACAGCAATGTTCTGCCTCACAACATGGACGATGAAATAATGCCACATGCAGAACTAAATGAGTCTCATCATTCAGAGGCATCTGACTTGCCAGGAGAACATGTAAACAATGAGTTGAGGAGGGGAGTAAGAAGAAAGCATACACCTGGTTGGCAAAATGACTACATTTGTGGGACCAGCCAAACTTTGCAGATCAGACAGGATAAGTACCCAGTCTGCAGTTACCCCTATATGAGTAAGGACAATAAAAGTGGTGCTGAGAAAGAGTTCTTGGCAAACATTTCTACTGAAAAGGAACCAAGCCACTTCAAAGAGGCAGTACTGCACCCTTCTTGGGTCGAGGCCATGAACAAGGAATTGGATGCTCTTGAGGAGAATCACACTTGGGTACTCACTGACTTACCAAAAGGCAAAAAGGCAATAGGTTCAAAATGGGTTTACAAAATAAAAAGGAAGGCTGATGGATCAGTAGAAAGATACAAAGCACGGCTTGTGGCAAAGGGATACAACCAAATTGAAGGAGTGAACTATTTTGATGTATTCTCACCTGTAGCTAGATTGGTGACTGTGAGATTCCTTATAGCTACTGCAGTACATAAGAATTGGATTCTACATCAGTTGGATGTTAACAATGCCTTCTTGCATGGATTTCTTTCAGAAGAAGTTTACATGGTTCCTCCACAGGGATATGACAAGGCATCTCCTGGACAAGTATGCAAATTAGTGAAAAGTCTTTATGGTCTTAAACAAGCCTCTAGAGAATGGAACCATGAGCTTTGCAAGAAACTGTCCTTGTTTGGTTTGATACAGTCTTCCTATGACCACTGCTTGTTCACTTTACATAAAGCTGGTGAGTTTTTGGCACTGCTTGTCTATGTAGATGATGTCTTGGTGACTGGATCATCACAGGCCTTAATAACTGAACTCAAAGTTTTCTTAGATGCTCAATTCACTATTAAGGATCTTGGGGTTGCCAGATTTTTCCTTGGAGTTGAAATAGAATATGGACCAGAAGGGGTTACTCTAAGTCAAAGGAAGTATATTCTTGATATACTTGGGGATTTGAGCATGCTAGGATGTCCACCTGCTTCTTCCCCTTTACCACTGGGGATTAGATTGGAAAGGGAGTCAGGTTTACCTATGTCCCAACCAGAAATTTACAGGAGGTTGATTGGAAGGCTCTTGTATCTTGGCTTAACTCGACCAGATGTGACTTATGCTGTTCAACAGCTTAGTCAGTTCATCAACAATCCTCATGACGATCATTGGACAGCAGCTTTGCATGTGGTGAGGTATCTGAAGTCTGTACCTTCACTAGGGTTGTTTTATTCACAGTGCACAGGACCTGTTACTCTTACTGCTTATTGTGATGCGGATTGGGCTACCTGTAAGGATACAAGGAGGTCAGTGACTGGTTACTGTATCTTCCTTGGAGATTCATTAATTTCTTGGAAAAGTAAGAAGCAAAACACTGTGTCTAAGTCATCTGCAGAGGCAGAGTACCGAGCCATGGGCTCCACAGTGACTGAACTCATTTGGATTGGTTATCTTGCTCAAGAGTTTGATGTGGTTATAAATTTTCCCATTCCACTTTGGTGTGACAATCATGCTGCCATGCACATCACGTCTAATCCAGTTTTTCATGAGAGAACTAAGCATTTGGAGATTGATTGCCATCTTGTTAGGGACAAATTCAAGCAAGGGTTCATTATGCCAAAATATGTGCCTTCACTTCACCAGCTTGCAGATTTGTTCACTAAAGTCATTGCTGGGGCACGGTTTCTTACATTGCTCGGCAAGTTGGGCATGACTACATCGCATCGAAGCCCAACTTGAGGGGAGGGTGTTGAAGTTCAAGCCAAGAAATCGTGCCATGACATGCAGCTGCTTCCTTTTTCATCTTTTTCATTTTATTTTGTTGTTTTCTTTGGTTCAAACGCGTGTCTGCGTTTTTATTAGTTTGTTGCGTTTCTGTTATTTGAACTCATAGGTTACGACGTCGTCTTCCTTTATGAGGAACGACGCCGTTTTATTTCTGTTCTTGTCGTCTTGCATGAGAGTGTATATATATACACTCATTATGTACGTACAGTGTGATTTTTGATTTTATGAGCTAAGAAAAGGGTTTTCCCCAAAATATCTAGTTTTGTTGTTTTACGGATTCAACATGCCTCGCGGACAATATTCTCAACCAGTTCAAATCCATTTCATTTTATGTAAATATGACAGTTGACACAGTGAACCCCAAGAGAACATTTTTTTCCTCATAATATGGTATATGCAAGCTACAGATAACACCTACAGGCTACAGATATCATAATTTACCCCTAACATAATTTGCAATCATAGCTCATTCAATACTCAATCGATACATTCAATAATCACTTAATCAACAAACCAGAGCAATTCAATGCGTTCACATGACATCTCCATAGGTAATAACCTACGATTTCGAAGGGGGAATAAAGACTAAACACACCTGGCATGAGTGTCCATGAACTTAGCCTCTTTCGAAGCCACCAGCAGATCGCAGGCCAACGAGATCTCGAATCCTGCTGTCACCGCAAACCCGTTGATGGCTCCGATAATCGGCTTCCTACAGAGCTCCATTTGGGCGACGGGGTCGGTGTCCACATCCTTGACGTCTCCTTTGAACACGTCCTCCGCCGCCGTCAGATCAACGCCGGAGCAGAAGGCCCGGCCCGAACCGGTGACTATGATGACCCGGACCGAATCGTCCGACGCCAGTTGCTTGATCGACGCGGCTAGGTCGACCATCATGGCCCGGGTCAGGGAGTTGAGGGATTTCGGCCGGTTGATGACAACGTAGGCGATGCCGCCCGGTTCCCGATGGACGAAAATGAGCTTCTCCGGCGGTGGGAGGGGGATTGCCATTGCGGGGGTGATACGTTCGATCTGGAAGGTACAAGTCCGCGATGCATGACTTGTTTATCTTGTGGATTGTATTTATATTGAAGTGCGTGCAATTGATTATTAAGCTTATCGGCTGACGTTATGGGTAGTGTTGGAACAAATCGATATTCCAGCTTCTATCTCGATTTTCTTTTCGATGCGATATACAGTGAAAATTAATATTATATTATAATTTAAATACATGTAAACTCTAAAACATACTTTTTTATTACATTTTTAATTTATGTATATATTTTTTAACAAGCACCAATATAATACAGAGGTATTATATTACTACTACTTTAATTTAAGTATAATTATTTTTAAAAAGCACTCATGTACATTAATTAAAACAGATTCCTGAAGCTCAACCCCTATGTGTTAATTTTTGATGCTTCTAATGTTACATACTACCTCTTATTCTTTTTAAATGTCATTTTGTCTTTATCAATTATTAATCAAAATAAATGTCGTTTTGGATTTATACATATTTTTCCATTATTACTCTCATTTAGTTAATAAATACACTACGTCTTTTCATATTCTCTTTATCTTTTTTTTTTAAAACATTCATCTCTATCTTCATTAATGAGGGTTATTATTGGCAAAAAAATTATTCTTAATTAGTGTACAACTTCCCAAAACTACACTTATTATGAATACGAGGGAGTATCAAATTCTGTCTTGTTCTTTAATTTGTAATCCTTATGGTGATTGGAATAGTCCACGTAGACTTGGACTTAAAATTATCAAAAAAATAATTATTTTAAATTATAAATATATTTTAAAATTAATTTAATTAACTTTTATAATTAGCATCACATTTTTACATATGATATATTTAATAATCTTTTAATACTTTTGATTTGATATCCACATTGTATATATATATATTACATTTATAATAGAAATTAAATTATTTTAAATAGAATAAATTTATCTTTTAAATTTATATCTATATATATATAAAGAGCAAGAACAACATTTAATTTTACTATTAGTGCATTAAATTTTATTCTCCCTCCAAAATTTTCAACATTAAATTTCATTTTTAAGTTATCATGCATTAAATTTTATTCTTCCTCCAAAATTTTCAACATTTAATTTTATTTTTAAGTTACAAAATAACTTGCTTGAATGCCATAAATTATGAGCATAAACAATCAAGGGAGTTACAAAATTGTACTCAAATTTTAAGTCACACCCAGTCAAGAAAATGGTCGGGTGTATTAGCATAAAGAAAATGGTTGTAACGGCTCTTCCATAGCAATTAATTGATCAAAGTCCATTTTGAGAATTATTTTCTTAATTCATATTTTTTCATGAATTAAATTATGATTTTTTTTTTTTTTTATATTTCTATGCTTTTAAAGTATTCGTCTCTGTGCAAATGCACATGTTGATTACTAGTATATATAATTGCTGACAAGCTTCAATAAATTTTATTCAGCCAACAATTAATAATGATATGAGTTCATTTAATAAAAATAGGTGTTCATTTAATAAATATATATTCACCATTTAATAATAATAAGTAACTTTCAGTTATACAATTTATTTTGACATGTCTCATTTTATATGGTGTCTATTTCTGTAACGCCTTTTTATGTCCTGAATACAAAACATTTTTATTTTATTTTAATACTATATATTTTTTGGTATTATATAAATACATATTTCATAACTAATTAAGAGTGACTACAAATAACTCTATTTTCTATCGCAGTCATACAGTAATAAAAAAATATTTTTTCAGATATTACAAAGATACATCAAGTATTTTGAAAAATCAAATCCCATAGTCACGAGTCGAACATATTTAACGATAATGATTTGTTGTGATGATGATTCTGACGATAGGAAAACCACAAATATTGTATCTAAAGTTGTATGTAATAATATTTAGATTCACTTTCTTAAATTATTCTTTTTTCTCATTTATTAAGTTATAATTTTTACTTCATTCTATATTTTTAATTATTTTCTATTCTATCATATCGTTTTCCGTGCAAATGCACGGAGTAAAATTAGTCCGTGTTATAGTTTGAACTAAAAAAAAATATTACAAGTCTCATTTGTATACAAAGTAACAATACTAATGTAATCGCTTTTATATTTAAATTCAAAGCATTTTTCAAAATTTTTAATTACAATTTTTTTTATCAGCACCGTGTTATACACCTACTAGTTATATTTAGTTATAAACCTCAGAGACAAGTTGAACAGTCCGTATATAATGAAAAAGTTTCCACCAACAATTCCAGTCAATGAAATAATCCTCTCTTCTTCCCCAAATCTCCACCTTTTTTACAATAATAATAATAATTTTGTTAGCTAAAATAAAACAATACCAATTTCTGTATTTATGGTGAATATTCAATCCGACGGCGCAGATTTCATCAACTGCCGAATGTTAATAGGCCAAATGTCCAAAGGGTCTCCATCTATTAGACGCCTTGCTATTATAGAATTAGTAGCATCTGTTGGATGAAAAGCATCCCAAAATATGTATTTGGACCTGTCCGCACAAACTTTTGATGTAGGCCCACATGGAATTAGCCCACCATACCTTCCCGCCACATGACAACAGGCCGAGTTTGGGTTCTCAAATCCTGCGAGCCCAAAAGAAAATATTCATACGTAGAAAATACTAAATTCATGTTTTTTTAATGAATGGAGAGAAATTATGCATCAAATAATGTTAGACAATCATACACTACAAATAAATAGTGATACTTTTATATCCAAATGGAATACATAAACTATATGAATGCACATTATCGTAAAAAAAAATAAAAAAAATGAATGTATAACAATTCTATAGTCTTAAGAAATATTTGTAATGCTAGTCTAATTAAGCTATTAGCTAAAATTTATTTTCACAGTTGAGAATTGCATGTCTATAACGCGATTAAGAATTTGTATACGAATCACATCTATCAAAAAGAAAAAAAAAATGTTTTTTTCACAATGGAGATTTCATATCTATAAAGTGATTAAGAATTAGTATAAAAATCACACCTGTATATATAAAAAAAATGTTATTTTCACAATGGAAGGAAATATAATATTTTGGAATGATTTAAATAATTGTAATCCATTTTCTTAAATACAACTTGTTTATGAAAATATGCTTACCATATGATGAATAATTTTGAATGATATCATCAACAATGTGGTACACATCTGCATAAACAAAAGTTGAGTGTTGAAGATTTGCAGAAAGGTCCCTCAAAAGACCCCTTAATTGGGCGTTGAATAGTTGGGCCAGTTGGTTGGGGAAAACAGCACAGCCATCCCCTGCACTTGGATTTATTTCCCTCTGAAATGGTATGCACCCGATGGGCCCCACATTAGCCACCACTATCTTTCTTGCTCCCATGCTGTAAAGCCTCTGACAATTTTTTTTTTTTCAAAAATTAAAAAAAAAAAGAAACAAATTCATTTCTTGTTTGTTTTGAAATACATTTTACATACAAAATTTAAATTTTTGAGTCTAACTGAGCTCGTTAACTGAACGATGTTCAAACGAGTCGAGCTGAGTTCACGAATGACTCGGATAAATGTTCTTACATTTTGTTAGATAGGGGGAAATGTTGTAATTAGAGTAGATATAGGGGTAAATTTGTAATTTACCATGAGTTGAACTCTGTATTTTGAAATCATGGCCCCAACAAAAGATTGTGGAGGCATTAGCTGCTGCTCAACTTTGGAAGGAACAAAAGGTGTGAGATAATTGTTTATGAAATCATTTGACCCAATTGTAATTGAGAATAATGCATCTTTTAACAGCTTTTGGGCTGCATCAAAACCAATCCTTGAGATTATTTCTTGCCTTGTGTTTGCAAAGTTGTCCAGCTGTGCATCTAGATTTATCCTCCCACCCTGTGCAATTCATAATATTAATATTATAAAACTTATATAAATATATATAAATGATCTCATCTCCATCAAAATATTTTCAGGATATTTTCATTTTACAGACAAATGGTCCTATCTTGTCTAGGCTTATATTAAGGTTAATTATGAAGCTAGGCTATAAGTTTTAGACTAATTACAGAATAACCTATAGTCAGGTTTCTCTTTTGCAAATTGCACCTTCATGAGATTTTTTTNATGCTCATTTTTTTTTTAAGAAAAAACACAGGGTACATTTTGTAATTAACAAAATAAAATGTGTTAAAATGAAAAAAAGAAAACAATGATGTAAATATATAATATATACAAGATAAGATAAGAAAAACTTACAAAAATCTTGCCAGTATAATTTAAGATCCCACCTCCACCAGAAGCATAATTCACACCTTGCAAAATTGTTTGTCCAGCTGTGGTAGGTGCCAAATATGGAGGTGTGTTGCCAATAAAGCCTATTTCTTGTCCTGCTTTTGCAATTTTCACAAATTATTATATGTACATATTTTATCAATAAAAATTGACCAAAAATAAAAAATAAAAACATCCGACTAAATTGATTAAGGAATTGAAGGGAAAAATGGAAAAATTACATTTTTTTATTTTTTTTGTACTTAGGAAAAATTACAATTAAGAATAAATAAAATTAGTTGAGAAACTTGCCTATGATGTCAACTATGGTTCTTCCATTAGTGAATCTCCCAGTGGGCAACCCAAAATCAATCCCATTTGGCACAAAATCTGCTTTTGAAAGAGACAAAATGTAGTTGTTGTTACCAGCATCAACCAAAGAATCTCCAAAAACAAAATTTGCTGGTGTGTGTTTGGCCAAACAGAGCCTTGTCCCAAGTATAAGTACAGCCAAAACAAATAATGCCCTGTAATAGAAGTTTCCCATTATAGAATCTTGAAATGATACTTTCTTTTTATTATATATCTATTTCAAGAAAAAAAAAAAAACAAATGTTATGTGCAAAATGAAGGCATACAAAAAATATAGTTCATGGTTATAAGCTATTTATAGCATACAAAATATAGTGTGCATGAGCTAACGGGCAAAGCGTTTTAGAAAGTTCATTTAATGCGTAGCAGAATTAATCAGCTCGAAATCCGTGAGGACTACAGAAGGTTGGGACCAATTGGGTTGAATTGTCAGATTGAGATAATTAATTCTGTTAACAAATAAAATATTATTGTGAATACAATAAGAAACAAATAAAACAATAGTAAGGCAATGAGGAAAAAGAAGTCTGATTTTGTTTTTTTAGAGAAATATGAATATCAACATTTAGAAACAAAAGTCTTTTATAATTACCACATTTTTTATTGCTGGCGTTTAAATTCTCATAAATATTGATCCTATATTATCAATTTTGAATTTTTAAATAATTAAAAAAATTAGAAACTCTTGTAATACATAATGTATATTTCAATAACGACTTTGTGATAATATAGTTCACAGATGACAAAGAGTATTATAATATAATAGAATTTTAATTTTTCTCCTCTTTAATATTTTAACAAATGATATGTTTCTCAATATTATCTCATTGTTTTTTTTCATTGTTAAAGAATCATTATGATTGATGCAAAAAAAAAATTTTCATTGTTTTTTTCCATAAATTTTCGAATCATTATGGTTGATGCAAAAATTTGGACAATAAAAGCGTCTGAAATTGGAACAACCAAGATGCTCAATGATTTGCAACATATTATATAGCTCGTCTATCTTCCAAATAAATAACATTGAAAAGGAAATGTCGGAGCATGATCAAAATATTTTTGAATTTTTGAATGAAGTTATCATATTTTGATAGAAATATTTACAATTTCATTGGTGTATTGTGCTCGAACATATGTGCAATTACTCTATAGTATATACTTTCATGTAATGTATGATGATTTCAAAAGGGGTGGTACTATTTACCGCCCCCCTCCCCCTTACTAGTCACCGCCCCCCTTGGACGATTTTGCCCTTTTCATTTTTTCTAAACATCTCAGAGCAAAGTGTATGGTGAAATGTCATCAAATTTCGAGGTACGAAAATTTTTGTGTCCGGCCGGCGAAATCGGACGGCTTTTAGCCCGTCCGAACCAGCCGACCGGACGGGTTAAAAGCCGTCCGGTTCCGCCGGCCGGACGGGCTAAAAGCCGTCCGGTTTCGCCGGCCGGACGGGTTTTTTTCTTTTTTTACTTTTTGAAAAAAATGTAAGGGGCAAAATTGTCCAAGGGGGGGCGGTGAGTAGTAATAGGGGGCGGTGAATAGCGATTGAGAATATATTTGAATGGAATTCCAACGGAAATTCCAACAAAAATATTCCGTCGGTATGAGTTTTCCATTGGAATTTCCGTTGGATTTTGAAGATTCCAACGGTAGATTTTCCAACGGGGGTGGAAATAAAAATTCCAACGGAAATTGCATAGTCCAACGAAAATTCCTACGGTAAAAAACCGTTGGAAAAATAGCCGTTGAAATCATCAAATTCCATCTAAAATTTCAATGGAAAATTCATTCCAACGGAATATTTTCGTTAGAATTTCTGTTGGAATGATTCCAACGGAAGCTATACCATTGGAATATCTGTTGGAATTTTTGTTAGAATATATTATCGTAGGATTTTCCGTTAGAATATGACATTTTTTTGTTGTGATAAGTAATAATTTGCTACCTGTATCATACGCGAATTTAAGATTTACAACTTAAATATTTTTTGTGCTGAACTGCAACCTTTTTAATACACGATTTGTATATATGATGGTCATTTTTTGCATTATATTGGTGGATTGGTAGCAAACATGTCATGAACTCCACCTTATGCTCAGGGTACAAGGTTCGAGTTTGGGAAAAGGCCAAAAACTACAGCAAGTCTTAAGATGGGTCTTAACCCTAGGGTGGAGCACTGTGAGAGTCCTATGAGTTCCCGGTGCATGGTCGTCATACTCACTGCTCTGTAAGACCCGCAAAGGGGCTGACTGTTATAACCATCAACATACATTGTAAAACTATATTCTATTGTATGGGTCATGTAAGTTTATTACATTAGGCAAATTTTGAACATTGCGTTGTTGCACCATAAAATCATATTGAATGTATACATGGGTGCTCTCGACTTGGTTGGATTTTTGAATCATTGGACTAAGTTTTCTTTTATTATGCGGCACAATAACCATTCAATTCTACGAGAAAGAGCAACCCTCACAAAATGAGCAACGGGCAACTATTACATGTGATGTTTCACTTGTGATCACCTGTGAAACGAGTTATGTGCTTTGAATATGTGTGATGTGTGAAAGATACTAGTATTCATCGCTCTCATGAGTGATGTCAGTTCATTTGTTGCATAAGGTTGGACATTTCGTGCAAATTCTCAAAATACAACAAGTAGGCTAAAATTGTGTGTTTTTTATTGGTCACCGCACCCCCAAGTAATGGGCTTCACTTCTGCATATATTGTGGTTGTTAGTAAGTGAAACATGGTGAGGAAGTTTATTGAACGAAATGACTATACCACAAAGTATTGGGACTGATTTTTGGATGGAAAATTTGGGTCATTGCCAAGACAAACGTGTGTAGGAGTCTTTGTGACATTAAAGTAGTGGGATTGATTTTTGTTGAACAAATATTATTATTACTAAGTGACAAGTATCACATGAATTCTGCTTAATTTTAATATTAGTAGAGATATATGATGTTGTACTTAATCATGATCATCCGTATATATTATTTAGTGTCTGTAGTTATAAGAATTACTGGAATTTTTTTTTTTTTTGAAATTTTGGACTATTTTTAATCACTTGAGTGTAGAGCATTGTGATTTTGTGTGTTTGAAATTTTTTTTGGGTGTGATTTATTTTATTATTTAGGCATCCTTTCATGATTTTCTATGAGGTTATATGGAAAAGAATCCATGCACAAATTATTTTGGGAGATTATCTCGACTATTTTTTTAACCCTCAATTTTATCTCCTTATTTAATGATATTGCGTGGCTTGATTGTGATGTGTGTTTGTGAGTGGATGGGTTTCCTTGATATGTGAGCAATTGTGGGAAATCACTAACCACCACTGTTCTTGAAGTTAAATCCATCACTTTTCTTTTTTGTTGTGCACGCGAATTAAACCATATCATTTTTTCTTTCTTGTAATATTATCAATCTTTTTGTCTCTCTTTGCAACTAGAGATCTTTTCTTTTTTATTTCTCTTATTTTATATCCTTGAGTCTGTATATACCTACATCTCTCACTACTCGTCTAAAATCAAATTTGGGAGCAAAAACTGCTGAATCATTGGCATTTAGATTCAAGGGGGAAAATATTAAAAAGGATGAAAATAAAAGTTCTGATAGATTGGAGAAGTCAGCAGATAGTTATGAAGCTACATTCACTTGTTAAATTGGTTTGATCTGGCACTAACTTGTTGGATTTGGTCAGTTTAATTGTTAGCTTTGTTAGTTGATTTTTTTTTTCAATTGTTGGCATTCTCAATTGTTCTGTATAACACTTTCTTTGTAAAATTAGGTGCTCTAATTAGTAATTGTACTTTGCTATCATGATCATTTGTTTTGTTTAGGAGATAGCTATTATCTCTTGTTTTGAGTCTTAACTATGATCATGTTCTATCATAGGCTCTAGTATTGATTCTTTTACTTACGTGTTTTTGCTTAGGTATTGTTTACTAAGCTCTTGTCATCTTGCTATGGTATTTGGATTATTTGACCTGTTATACTTTGATATTTTAGTCTTATGCTCTGAGCATTGGTGTATGTGTACGTCATGCTCTATGATTTGATAGTTTATAGTTGGATAACCCATGTTGGTTCATTCTATACTAGATGCGAGCTTGACTTGTCTTTTGCATGTTTTGTTTAAGAAACGGGCCTTACATATATAATAAAGAGAAAGATTGTAGGAAAATTGTATTTCACATTAATCGAAAATATTTATTTATCATATTTGTGTTTTTTGAAATATGTAACATGGAATTCATGCTTGAAGCGAAAGGGAAAATCTATTTATCTTAACTTTTCATATGTTAGTTATTCTCTTATTATGTATTTGAAATTAATTATCTTCATTTAGATTGTAAGAAAAGAAAAAATATTACAGAATAAAAATAACAAGAGGAGGTAGAGATTTATTAGGAGATTTCATACATATTATCTTCTTTTAGTATTGATACTCCCTTACTATTTATATATGATATGTATTTAATTGTCTTCATTTACTTGTAGGAAAATGAAGAGCAATGGGATAATAAAAGGAAGCAGAGACTCATGTGAGAGTTGATAGCTGAAAAACGTGAGGATGAGAGCTGGAAAAATCAAGCAAGAAATGAAATAAATTGAGCAAGAATATATTTTTGAAAGTTGGCATGAAAACAAGGAAAGAAAATTGTACAATACTGAAGACAGAGAGACACGATTAAATCTGAAAGAATATTTGGGCAAGATATTCGTGCATGGTAACTTACAAAGCATGAGAATTTAGTTTCCAAAGATACGAGAAGATTTGAAAATTCTCAATTTATGATGAACTTGCATACCGTTTATAGTTTTGTATATAACTTAGTTTCACAAGTTTTGGTCACAGAGCGAGCTATTCCATTGTTCTTCAAGAGAGCTCGTGAGTTTTTATCATTGAGAGCTCGGGAGTTTTTATATAGATTTTATGGAGTTATAGGATTCTAGTATGTTGGTACATCGCTTGTAATTCGAGTTGTTCTATTACTTGTTGCATGAGACCAGCAACTTCATACTGCTTGGAGGGATCTATACTTGCAGTTTAAGTTCATATGACCGTGGCCAAAAGAGTAGTTAGGTAGGTAAGGTACAAAGTAGGTTTAGCTTGAGGGGGGTAGTAATTCTTATTTATACTTATTGACCAAATACTTACTTAATGA